CGGTTTCTTCACTGAGACCTGAAATTTCTTTTTAAATCATGAACTCATGAAAATTCTCATAAATCATATCTGATAAAATAAGCATATCATGCTTTCTATCAACTGGAAATCATTTACAACTTGCATATTCATTTTCATAGCCCAATGCATATTTATGAGAACATAAGATATGTGAGTAAGGTATGCACTATGCACAACACGGTGCAAATGGTAACTGATACTGAGATATGATACACTTCAGTGCCATCATAACCTGAATGAGCACCAACGATGCTGGACATTGGTACATGAATGTACTAAAGCTGATATGATAACACTGATACACGAATGTATCAAAGCTGATAATTGATAAGTACTCAACTAATGGCATGCCAAGTGTACAAATAATTCTCAATATAACATATAATGGGCTAATATATCATAATAAATCCATCATAAAAATATCATGCTTGGGCAGTTCATACCCTAAATCATTCATAAAACTGATATAGAATATTATAAAAAATATTATTTATAAAATTTAAAAATCATACTGTAAATTGAAATGAGGTTGACTTATCGCAAGTCATCATCGATCAAAATAATTAAATAAATAACTGCACTCACCTGTTACCTCATTGCACTTTAATATTACTGTCGTTTTCTCTTTTACTTTGTACTACGTCTTTCGTTTTTACTTCGTTTCACTCTTGGTTATGATCATGATTTTGGCAATGGAGTCACGACAGAATGGAGAAGATGAGCTGAACTTCTTCAAATTTCTCACAAAATATCACTTTAAAAATCCAATTTAAAATGAATTAAAAATTTATTTTAGCCTAAAAGTCAAAATTACCCTTAATGAATCCTAATTTTTACCACAATGTCATCATTTTATCTCCATTTTAATATTATTAAATAGTTTTAAAATTCTCATCTCTCAAATTTTGTTTTTGACCCTCTAATTTTCCAAAATTTAATTTTAGTCACTAATTTGCACTATCTCACTTTATAGTGCAACTCTCACCAAATTCCACCAATCCAACATAATTTTTCACTATTTAAAAATATCCATATAATTTTTTCAACCCAAATATACCTTCCTTGAAATTTTTATAAACTTATGATACGATCCGGATATCCGAATAATATATCGAACTTTGTTATTTGATAGGCTTTTATGCAAACTCCAGGTCAAAATTATGAAACTCACTAAAATAATTTTTTAAGCTAAACTACTAATTTACAAATCCAAAATTTAACTTTTGAAAATTTACATTTTTAGTCCTTAAACTTTTACAACTTTACACTTTAATCTCTAAACTTTTAAATTTTACATTTTAGTCACTAGACAAAAGTTTGGGGGTATTATATATCATTATCGTCTCCCATTGTTCCACGATATCACCCCTGAGCAAAGCAGTGGTGCATTCTAGCTTACACTCGGGGTAAGGTGAAGTTTTCTGAAAGACCTCATGGTTTCTCTCCACTACCAAACGGATAAAATTGAGTAATCAATACTTAAACAAGAAAATTGGATTGTCTTATACTTCTCAAATCTATCAACTAAAGACTATCGATGTTGTCACACTCAAAGTAACTAGTTGAACAATATGTGCTCTATGAAAACATCCACTACCTCTATGAGCAACGGAGTTTAACCTCTAAAGAAGGTCGTCTTAAAAACTATAAAAAAAAGTTGGAACCTTATGATCCTCTAACATAAGTAGGAATTCTTCACTAAAACTATCGGGATAAAAAACATGACTCTTTATCCTACCCTTGAGACTACGCTCGGAACCTAAAATTCTTATCGTTTTCATAAACACAATTACAAGGAGAAAGCACTATCAGGATACCAGTCTTATAAGAGTACTTTCAGCAGCTAGGGGTATGTATTCATTGACACCTTACTATAACTGACCACTAGGTCTTAGGACCAACTCAATCTGATGCTCTAATACCACTAAATGTAACACCCTAAACTTGATTGGGCCTAAAATGTCACATTAGGCTATCGAGGCAACCCTTGATTTTCAAAACATGTTCATTCTTATTTAAAAACATATTGATTGGTATCAAGATAGATATACATGACAATTATAAACAGATTTTTATAAACTGGAGCTCTATAACATATTATTTAAAACCAAAATAATACAACTCAGAGTTATAAAAACTGAATGCAATAATAAGGGTACTATGAATACACTTGCCTAATAAAGCTACAATACATTACTCTGGAAGAGGTGCTGGAAATTCTATTACGATAATGCTCATTGAACGGCTTAGGCTAATATCCTGTAAACGAAAACATCTGAATGTTGAGTTACAAAGCCCAATAGTAAAATCATTAATCTAGAGCAACATATGAATCTCATAAACATAATCATGCTAGAAGAAATGGTAATAAGAAATAGGTACATGCATGATAAAAATCAAGTACTACTTACTTAAGGTTTAACAGTTCTATCACTAAAGTGTAAGTCTTACGCTTCCCATAGTCTCTGTTAAGGACCTCGCCATAAGTATACCTCAATTAAGTCTTTAACCATAATATATGTAACTACTGTGCATTCTCTAAATGCCACACACAATACACTACTAGTGCTCGACGTCACATAGATGTCCAGTACTAGTCATACAACAAGTAAGCATCATGGTATAGTTCAAGTTCACATAGCATCACAAAACTTACACCCCTATTTCCTTACTAGATGTATCTTGGGTAAGATCTGGGCCACATAGCATCAGTATCTCACCAGTACCCTAGGCTAGGTTCAGGTCATATAGCATCAGTGTCTTTGCAGGCTAGTCTACTCCTCTAGTGTTTAAAGTGTTCTCGCACTAAATTGGATATATCTGGATATTTCTCAAACAATTAAAATATCACTACACACACAAAAGTAACAAGGGTGTTTTCATCGTTTCCAAATTGTCAAACAAATGAAGAAGTCTTATAGAATCTTACCTCATAAGGTTCTTATAATTATCACACATATAACATTATTACTACATTACTATCACATCTTTATTATCAAGCCCTTCTAGAGCTAAAAGTCTTGTCACATATCAATCAATACCACACGAGGTAAAACAAGGTAGTTCAATGCTCGTTCTCTCATCACACTTTCCATCAGTTCACCCTTAAACCAATAGGGCAGCTCACTCATATTTGATTATAGGTGTTCATGTGATGCAATTCCTCAATCACATTATTTGCGTGGCATATGATCTCTCTTGTATACATTCCTCCGTTCAGGATATTTCGTTGAGTGCACCTTCAGGGGTACTTTTCAAGTTTTTTTTCTCTTTAAGGGTATTTAAGTCATTCCATAAATTATGAACCTTTTCTAAGCTTAGTTGCACATTTTACAACAATCTATAAACATCCAGATGCAACGAGTGATGTTTTAAATCTTTTGGTATTGGATAGAAATGATACTCTACTAAGTAGTATAGGTACTATATTAGTATTAATATTGGTATTGGTATTGATACGAGTATTGGTACTACAACAGTTGATACAGGTAGTGATACAATTATTGATAATACAAGAACAATATCGATACTACAACCTAGAAAACCTTAAATAAGGTTTGAGAAACATCTAATAACCCTCCAAACACTCTAGTTTAACCTCAAATAAAAAAATAAAGCTTAAGGGAGTCTTATGGTGCCATCTAACACCATAAAAACATATTATTTACAATAATAGCATCATATATGTCATAAATCAAGTAAAAACCCTAAGATGCTTAAACCCATAAATCTTAACAAAACATCATGATTATGAAAGTCATAACACCAAAAAAGATTATAAATACATTACCTTATTTAAAAAATCCCGAAATGAAGCTCCTTTCTTCAACTACACTTGTTTTCTCATCTCTATTTGAACTTGAGCACTCTATACTCACTTTCTCTAACCAACAAGAAAATCAATGATTTCCTAATACAAGATGAAAATGATGAAAGTTATAGATGAATTTTGAAGCTTAAGGGGGTATAAAAGAAACCCTAATCACTTACCTTAAGTTAAAAATATGATATGGAGGAAGAAGATGAAAAAGAAAGAAGAAACGAGGAATAGAAGACAAAGTGAGAGGACCTCACGCCCAAGCTATTATAAAACCCCAAAGAATAAGCCTTATTTTTTTAAAATATGATAATTAAACTTTTGGTCCTTTGCATTTTCCCTTATATTTAAAAATTCCCTTTTTGTAATTTCTTGGACTCAATTCCAACCCAATTAAGCCCAAACTTTCCCCCAACAACTTTAATTGCAACTCTACATGTTTCATATGCCTTTTAGGTAAACTTGAAACTACTAACCTAGGATTTAGGGTATTATATGATGAAGTAGCCAACCTTTTCCTTATGGTCATTCAAAATAGTTTGAAGATCCCTTTAAAGTATGTTTCACACGCATATCATACTTTTACTCTCATATTTCTTAGCTTCCATGGTCCCATCTATCATTCTTTGGTTCGAGTTTTTTACTAAAATGCTCGAGTCTCATACGCTACTCACGATGACACCATTCATTGGACCATTGTTTCATATCTTATAAGTCATACCATCACCGTCATTATTGATCTTATCACCCAATCTTTTAAACTACCCCTTACCAACTTTGATAATGAAAAAGGCCTTATTCCCTAAACATGTGTTTTACAAATAATAGAGCCACAATTTTCTCCCTTCATGACTACTTACTTCATCTAGTCATCACCCTTTCCATTTGTTCTTGTGGCACAAAATTCTCTAACATCTGCGAGAGTGACTATAGATGGATACATTGCATTAAAAAAGATCACAAGCTCCACATTGCTAGCATGATCTTCCATGATATTGTGAGTGTGATCAAATCTAAAGCTCAACTGAACTTTGTGTACGATATGCATCTTTGCCATATATTTGAGCTTCTTGGTATTGACACACCTGACGAGCCTGACATATTTCCTTCTAACGATAGTACCATCGGCTATATAGAGGATCCCGAGGGATCCATATATTAGATCCATAGTCACCATAGAGTGCTTCGAGATGATGACCAAGATGGAGATGAGCAGATGGATGATGCTCACGATGATGGTGATGGAGATGAGCCTGAGGGAGCAACTCATGTAGACCTGAAACCTCTTGTAGATTATTTTTGAAGATTTTAGTAGATGATACTTTAGTCTATGAAATCTCTTCAAGATCATGTTGATGCACATTTTGATGAGCTTGTGAATTGTCAGGATGCTACTAAGACTTACATGATTGATGATCATCAAGTGATTCAACACCAGCTCGATGGATTTTCTTTCCTTTCCTCATCACCGTCTTAGTTCATACATGAATTTTCATTATCACATTTTTAGACTTTGCTATATTTAGACCTTTGACTTTGGATGTTTGGTATTATGAACTTATTTGCATATTGTTTTATTATTTAGATGTTTTCATGTTGGATATTTGATCTTATATGAATTTGATGTTTTGAATATTTATGGTTTTGTTACTTTAACTTATATAGATGTTTTTAGTTTAAGTACCATGATACTTGATTTTTACCATAATATGCTTAATTTTAATTCTAGCTTTATTTTTGTGCACTTTATCTCATTTGTTATATTGTACTAACATTATGAATTATTTTTGACATAACAAAAAGGGTATAAGTATAAAATGAAAAATGATCTTTTAAAATTAAATTAGAGCTCAAAACTTTTCACAAACTATTTTATTATTTTTAAAGAGGCATTCTTCAAAAATATTTTATTCAAAGAATTTTGTTATATAAAAAAAGAAGAGATTGTTGAATTAAGATTTTGATATAAAAATAAATTGCAAAATTGATTTTAGTAAATTTGTCAAAAAAATTTATCAAAAATAATTCAAAGTCCAAATTAACTTGAAAAATATGTTTAAATATTTTCCAACTTAGTCGAAGCTTTTCAAAAATATACTTGGTTGTTTTCGCGTTTTAAAGTTTGAGTATCCAAGCTTTGTTTTAGTCATATGATCGATCCCTTAGCAAAAGGATTGGTCCCTTTAACAAAAGGATCGATCCCCTTGTAAAAGGATTCATCCCTTGGATTCCAATAAGTTTTTGATCGATCCCTTCACAAAAGGATCAATCCCTCGAGGAAAATGATCAATCCATTCATCAAAAGAATCAAGCCTTCGATGAAACAGATTGATCCCTTCCCCTAAATGATTGATCCCTTTCTTACAATGATCGAATTATTTGAAAAAGAATCAATCCCTTTCACAAAAGATTAATTCCTTATGCATTAAATGTTGTTTTTCTTTGTAGATAATGACTATAATGATCCTCAATGGCTTCAAATGGATATAATTGATGGAGAAGGTATAAATTAATGATCAAAGCATCCCAAGTTCAACAAGAACCATATTGTACCAACCTACCAAACATCAATGTATTCTTTTGTGCTTAATTTTTCAAATTATTTATTCTAAACACACTTGCGAGCTACATTGTTTATTTTGCTCAAGTGTGATTTGGGTGAGAGCTTATTTGTGCAAACCTATTTGTCTTTGTGAGGTTTTCTTTTGTTTGCGAAATTTGTAATTCTTCTTGTGGAGAGAGTGTAAGCAAGGTTTCAGGGTATAAACCTTGTGTTTTATTGGAAGGTTACATCTTGTCTTTAAAAGTTAGAAAATGTAGTGGATTTGAGAATTCCTTAGTGTGGATGTTACGGTAGTGTATGTAGACTTGGTTTAGAAGTCAAACCACTCTAAAATCATTGTGTAAATTTTTATTTTTGAGTTGCTTACACCATAGTTTTCTAAAAGTCAGTTCACCCCTTTTTTCATATTTCGATTGACCAATAAAGCTACCACAAGTGGTAAAAAGTTTTTTATTTCATACAATTTCATATATTTATGTGATGTTATATGTTTATATGCATGATTGAGTGTTCCCACGTAGTTTTTAATTTTAATTAGTTAGGAGAGTTGTTATTGCATAAGTTGCATATTTATGGCCTAATATGTTTATGTTCACAATTTTAGCTTAAAATTTGCAATTTTTGATTGTTGCTCATGTTCTCCATGCTTTAAATTGATCATGCATGTTGGTTTTGAGAATGTATTGATTAAGTGTAATTGAAAAAATTAATGTTTAGGACTTATAGAGTCATTGTATGTTTATATGACTTAATTGAATTCTTTTTCTTTTTGGGAAAGGAACGATTTTGTACGATTTTATTGAAATAACACATACAAAATCATCTCATAACCATAGTCCTCACTAAAAAAACCTCTCCAATCTAACCGGAGGAAAAAAAGTGACCATGGCTATGAAAACAAAAAAGGTTCATCCTTACAATAGCAGCCAACACGAAATATGCCTGACATAGACATTAAATCGGGCACCACCATCTTTAAGCCGTCTATTATAGCTCCCATATTCCCCAAATTTGACACAAACAAACCTCTCGTCCATACATAAGTCCTACTAATACCTTGTAACCCAACACCCAGAGCTCAACATCATCTTTACATCAACATATTGATTAAAACATAAGACCTACTGCAGAAACAAACTATTCAAAACATAATAGGTACTGCAGATCAAGACTTTAGCATATGGATTTTGAAGATTTGGAATTGGCATCATAATACCAATGACCTGATGACCTGCTGATCAAATACAAATTAGAAACAACGCGCGAAGATCACCTTCATCGTCTCAATTATTACCCGAGCTATAATTTGCACAAGTGAAAGCTGGGTCCAAGCTAACCAAAGCCAAGAAACCCTCCCCTCGAATCCTATACTAGTACCAGACAGTGCTTCATCGAAAGGAGCAGCATAATCCCCCTTAATCGTGGTCCATACTACCCTTGAATAGAAATGCATCTCAATGACCACCATGTAAAAATCACAACAAAGGTAACAAACGAGAGAAACAAATGTTATTCTGCTATCTAATTGAAACCCATGATACCCCGAAAGCCCCATTATGAGATGACTGAACTGGGGCAGCAAATGAATTCTTGAACTGAAGGAAACTCTAAAGGCCAGTTTGCAATTTGTCCAAACTTCCGTCCTTACTATCATCAAATCAAAACTGTTATCCTCCGATAAATGTGAATTATTAAAGATGGTTTCATTTCTACATATCCAAAATGTCCATATTAATCTAAAACATCTCATTAACCATAGAGGTTTTACCTTCCCACGCACATATTGAATGTTCCAGCAGATGAGCAGAGATTTCACATCTTTAGGGAAAATAAGGTTTACCTTCCAGATCTTACACCATCGCTGCCAGACACGCTACACAACAGGACAATGGAATAAAAAATGATTTGAGTTTCCTGTTCAATGTTATAGAAAAAACACGCATTAGCTTCATCCATAATAACACCTTGCTTCTTTAATTCCGACAGAGTGGGAAGCCTCTGATGGACTGCCTTCTAAACCAGTGCTTCAACTTTTGGCGGAGCTAGTTTAGCCCAAACAAATTTCCAAATACTATCCTCTACTGACTCTTTACAAGAAACTAATAAGCAATATTTTTTTGCCGAGAATATACCATCTGAAGATCCTGCCCATGACAGTCGATCCTCACAATATGCATACAACGCACTCTATTCAGAACGTTGAAGAAATCATTCCACATTCTGATTTCTCATTCATAAAGAGGTCTTCTAATTTCAATTTTCCAATTCTAGGTACCGTTTATCCAAGCTCCAAAATCCCTGACTTTGCCCGACTTACGTTATGCAATGCGGAATATTCTCGAAAAAGTTGATCGATGTGAAGAGAATTCCGTGTAATGGTCGTTCCAGAAATCTATTTTACTCCCATCTCCACAATCAACCTGAAATTTTCCAAGAAAATGCCATCTTCTTTAAGCAACGGTGCTGATATATTCTTCCATAAGCAACCTGAAACCATCACCATCATTGTCGATGTCATCGTCTGAACTTTTAACCTCTCTTTCACCGATGATGATAACGAAAAAAAGCCATTTTCCTCTCGATATGTGCCTTATGGGCAATAGAGTCACCTTTTTTCCTCTCGAGTTTTCTCTTCGTGATTTTCATGAGTCAGTATGCAATCTCTCAGATCTCTTCGATCCCATGTTGATGCATGTTTTGATGCGATTGAACATCGTCAGGATAATCTTGGCGAGGAGGTTCGAGCGATCCAACGTTAGCTTGAAAAATTTTCTCTCTCCTTTTTCACCGTCATAAATAGTGCATGCATTCCATTTTCTTATTTTTAGACTTTACTACATTTGAACCTTTGATTTTATGCTTAGTATTTGGTACTTGGATATTTTTTATTTGGATATTATCTCTTTGATATTTTATGGATTTTACTTGAATATTTTATCTTGTATGAATTTTATTTATCTTTATTAAAGTACCATGATGTATTTGATATTTTTTTGCCTTATTATGCTTATTCGTAATTCTAGGTTTATGTTTATATTATTTTATCTCCTTGTTATATTTTACTAACATTGTGGATTATTTTTTATATAATAAAAAGGGGAGAAGTAAAGATAAATTGAAAAAATATTTTTCAAAATTAAAATTGGAGTTTAATTTTTTTTTACAAATTCATAAATTCATTTATTATTTTTTAAAGATGATATTTTATATTTTAAAGAGTTTTTTATATCAAAAAGAGGAGATTGTGAAATTAATATTTTGATATACCAAATAATTTATAAAATTTATTAAAAATAACTCAAAATCCAAATTAACTTGAAAATTTGTTTTAAATGTTTTCCAACTTAGTCGAACCTTTCAAAACATACTCGATCATTTTCGTGCATTAAAGTTGAGTTTCCAAGGTATTTTGGCTTAAAGGATCGATCTTTTTAGTATAAAGATCGATCCCTTTGACCAAAGGATCAAGATCCTTAAAAAATGATTGATCCCTTGGATTCCAGTAACCATAGATCTTTCCCTTTACCAAATGATCGATCCTTTGAGGAAAATATCGATCCCAATGAAAAGGATCAATTCATTCCTTTAAAGGATTGATATCTTTCTTACAATAATCAAATTATTTGAAAATCTATCTCTTTCATCAAAATACCGATATCTTATGCATTAAATGTTATTTTGGGTTATATGTTTCTGCTATAATAATCCTCAATGGCTTTATACATGTAGAATTCATAGAGAATGTATAAATTTAAAGTCAAAACATCTTAAGAACAACAAGAACAATATTGAATCAACGCATCAACATCAAAGAAGCCTTTTGTGCTTAATTTTGTCATATTCTTTGTAACATACTTGTGAGCTACATTATTTAATTTTGATCAAGTATGATTTGGGTGAAAGCGTATTGATTG